AGGCTATATATACATGTCCATAATCGAGTTTATGATTATGAGAACAGATTGTAAAACATTGGTTTTGAGTTATTTTCCGATTAATCAAGGAGTTATTTTGGTTATTTGTTTTGCATTCTTGTTTTCTAAACTTTAATTGGTATCAGAGCGAGGTGAAGACGGTGCCGGTTTGAGAGTCGGTTTTAAGAAAAGTGTAGCCCTTTGCTGCGGGGCAGACGCAGCGGGAACCGGGTTTGGTTTAAAGGGTGTGTATATATAGCCAAACAAATAACCAAAATAACTCCTTGATTAATCGGAAACTAACTCAAAACCAATGTTTTACAATCTGTTCTCATAATCATAAACTCGATTATGGACATGTATATATAGCCTAACATACCAACATGTATTAGACTAGGAAACTTATGACCAACTTGCCATAAACTCAACTTTCCATAAATTAGCTTGTTTGGTCTCTAAGTCCTCATCGACTTAGGATTCCAACAATCACCCCCGAATATCTAAGTCCTTTTAGAGAATTCTTCAATCCCGATCAACATCATATTATCTCTTTTCACCACCCCGACCTCTTTAATCAAGCTTGTTCCGAGAGCACTTTTCCACCGAACAACAAGACAAGGTCATAACCACCTTTACCGTCTTTCGTCACCCGCAAAACGAACCGAATCAAAGTCACCCGCTTTGACGTCTTTCCGTCCGTTTATTCCGCGCCTCCGGTTAGTCGCTCTACCTTAGAACAAGCTCGATCAAGAAAAATCAAGGCTGCTGTTGAGATGCTTCAACTTGCGCTAAAAAACAATACACACCCCTTAAACCAAACCCGGTTCCCGCTGCGTCTGCCCCGCAGCAAAGGGCTACACTTTTCTTAAAACCGACTCTCAAACCGGCACCGTCTTCACCTCGCTCTGATACCAAGTGTTAGATTACTTGGGTTGAAACTTGTTTCAATAACAAGCAAAAAAAAAATCTTATGCAACAAGTAAAAGGAATACGTGAGAATGGAAGAATTGAAACAAATATATTACTTGAACAAAAATAAACTAGAAAAGGTCTTGCATTAAAAAAATACCACACCATTGATCCTATTTATACTAGACAAATAAGTATCCTACTTGAATTCTAAAACTATGCGGGATATAAAATAAAAAACTTAAATATGGCTACTTTCCTAATTGCCCATTATTTAAACTAAACAAAATAAACTTCTAAAATAATAAAACCGATTAATCCAACAACCACTGCCACGAATATGAGCCCAACTAAAACACTTTTTCTGACATAAAACACCCTAATAAACTTTTACGAATACATTTAATCCATCTGGAGAAATCTTTAAAATGAATTCAATGGTCTCCCCACCACATAAAGGTTGCTATGGTATGTTTTGTTGATTCTCAATGCACCGTTCAACCATGGATTAATGATTTATTACTGTTAAAACCTACCACATAAAGGTCGTTATGGATGTGCGAGCCACTTTCTACTAAACGAGTAGTTTTGTTTTGTTTATTCCCAATGCACCATTCACCCATGCACCAAGGATTATTATTGTTAAAGAGTCACGAATCAACATGTGTGTGTTTGTTTCCCCGCCTCTCTCTCTCTCTCTCTCTCTCTCTCTCTATCTCTCTCCTCTCTCTCTCATCTCGCCCTCCTCGCTCCCCCTCTCTCTACTCCTCCCTCCTCTCTCTCTCTCTCTCTCTCTCTCCTCTCTCTCTCTCTCTTCTCTCTCTCTCTCTCTCATATATATATATAATATATATATTATATATATATATATAAGGTTATAGGGAAAACAAAAAACCCTAAAAATCATAAAATGCATAAAAAAAATACCTAGACATCACAAAACTTTTTTTTGACTTTACATATCAAAAAATCGCAGTTTTTTTTAAAATTTCGTTGAAAAAAAAATAAAAATTCAATTTCTTTTTTTTATAAAAAAAAATTTCAAACAAAATTTCAGCGCTTTCGTGTTAAAAGGTGCAATTTTTTCAAAAAAAAAAAAGTTTTGTGATCTCAAAGTATTTTTTTATGCATTTTTATGATTTTTAGGATTTTTTGTTTTCCATATAACCTAAACCTATATAGGGAAGGGTTATATATATATATATATATATATATATATATATATATATATATATAGATATATATAATATGTGTGTGTGTGTGTGTGTTTTTAGAGATTATATCTTTAGGATCTTGTTTGATATTTGCAATGTTAAACTTGTCCTTCTTCAAGGTTTTGGTCATTCATTACGATCTCGGTTTGATTGTTTTTCTACACAAAACATGAGTATATATTATTCTCCGGATGAAAGCTAACTTAAAAAAGACATGCAACTTATAATGATCTTTAATCTTGCAAAAAATATCAAATCAATAAAATTAATGCTTAATCTATTATTTGTTACGAAAGAAGGTTAACAAACATGCAAAAAAAAAAAATACAAAAATTGTGTAGTAGTGTGGCCATGACTTGTCTCGCATATTTATAACATCTATAAATTTACTGTATTTTTAAAACGAATACATTGTTTTCTAGTAGATACATTGTTGTATCATTATCAAGCAACAGTCATCTTGCTAATATGATGTTCTTGTTATCTAGTAATAACAGTCATCTTGCTAATATGATGTTCTTGTTATCTAGTAATAACAAAGTAATGTAATGTAACAGTTCTTTCTTATCATATGAGAAATTAAATATCATCTTATTTTTTGTTCCTACTATCTTCCAACCTACTTTAGATGGTAACAAATATCATTCAATTTAATTTAAATTTGATTGGGATTTACTTGTCATCATCTTAAATAGGTAGGAAGAAAAAATAGGAACAAAAAGTAGGAGGATATGTAATTTCTCTTATCTTATATGTACATGATAATGATTAAACTTATTATTATATTCAACTTTTATCAATTATGTATTATAAATAACAGTAATATGAGTTCGTATAAACAATTGCATTAACTAAAAAACAATGAGATTAACTGATAAATGATTACATTAACCCAATACAGACACTCATACTTCTAAAAATACACCCAAATTCTCTTTGGGGCATTTCATCAACCGCTTGGTCTTCACTTCAAAGTAACACTTATAATCTATTAATGAATCTCTGATTGGAAGAAGATGACATCTTCAACGGTTACAATCTACAAATTTGAATATGAGAGAAGAGAAAACGAGTGTATCGAGATGTTGAATCAAATTTGAGTACAAGAGCAAAGAGAGGAGAGAAAAATAGCAGATGATCAATTAAGGTCTTAACTAGCACGATTAGATGTTTAGTGACAAAACCCACGCCATTCCAATTACTTTAGAACACATATGCGCCATGCGCCACATCAGTGTCACATGGACCCACATGGCTATTTACAAGCAGGAAACCAAGGGACACCTGCTGTGTGGCTAGAAGATGACAGCTTTTGTAGTTTAAAGTTTAGTACCATTTAAATTTAGATAGCTAAATGTTGACATTTTTATATTTAAGTCGAAGTAAAAAACATGGTTTTGATCACCAATTTTAACGTAGACCTCATCATTGTTCAACATTATATTTTACAAAAAAAAAAATCAAAACAAATATCATATCTCTCTTCCTAATTACATTTCTTTGAAAATGTTTTTTTTATTCTTTTGAATTAACCCGATGTAAATACCATAATGTTAATCGATTATTACTTTATCAAATGGCATATAGTTGTTTTTCAGCTAAAGGTCGAGGGGTTGCCAAAAAGATATAGATTTAAGAGTAAAATAATAGATGCGTCATGTAATTTGTTCTTCTAAAATAACCGGCTATTATTTTAGATAACTACACTTTATACCTGATTATAGCCTTTAAATATTAATATTCAAAACAAAAAGTTTGAAATATAACTGAAAATGCATTTCAATCTTTTATAACTGTAAATCATTAAATTGTAACAGCCTATAGCTCTAAGGCCTAAGCTTCTAACAGAATAACAGATAGTTCATTAAATGGGCCTACATTGGACCATTTTCACAAGCCTAGAACTGGGCCAAATAACTGGACCATATAATGATCAACCTACGACAACGACAGACACAGCACCGCTGAATAAATCTATCACTCTCCAAAACCGTACAAAACTCAAGTGTGCTGTGCTGTGCTGTGCTGGCAGCAATCTAACTCCGAATAAATGTCTGCCATCACAGCCGTCCATTCCACCCTGTCATCCACTTTTATCACCTTCACCACCCCTTTTTATTTCTATTTCTATTTTTATTATATTATAAAGAGTATTATTATTATTATTGCCACCAAATTCACCACCTTCACGTTCCACCCCTCCATCTCCCTCGTAACTGCCGTTTTGCCCCCTCCAATCCATCATGAAAACTTCATCTAACTCAAAATTTCTCCATCAATCTTTTATCTAAACATAAAAGAACCCAACAAGCTAGACCCATAAAATGATAAAATTAAACTGATTCCGCTTTCAAGGTAAACACGAGTCAAAAAGAGTATTCAAAATACGCCTAATTTGGCTAAAAGATTGTAAACACAATATCAAGTTCAAAAGGTTGTATGAGCAAAAAACATGTAATTGATACAATAATGGCAAATACCCTATAGATAGGACATTATACTACATACTTTTGTTGAATACGGCAACCATTCAAATAGCATCAAAGAAGTGTGTAAAATGCATGTTTCATTCAACGTTATTTCAATTTCTTTTAATAAACAACAATTTTGTAAAAAAAAAAATAATAATAACTCTTTACAACAACATGAACTTGAATGTAGTCTGTGAATAGGGATGGAAGGAAAGTAATAACAGAAGAAGGTAGCAACAAAAAGAGGGGGGAAATCTTGCAATGGTTCTTGAAAATGGCTGCTTTTTTGAAAAGGTTGTCTGTAAAAAACGCAGAGGAAAAGAAAAAGAAACTTTTTTTCTTTCTCCTTTTCCATCCAATAATTTAGAGAGTAGTTGATTTATAAGATGACAAAATGTAAGAAAATTCATACAAATACATACAACAATCCTATACATAAAACAGCGAAATTGGCAGTCCGTACCGTCGCCGAAGAGTGCATTTCCCCCGGTGGCGATGATGGCCCGAACAATTCCGGTGAAAAATTTATTGGCATAACTGGTGCCGGAGCGCCTCTAATGGGAGGAGATTTTTCCAGCACTCCATTTTTCCCGAAAATCTCCTTTGGTAACAAAACCCTAGAAATTCCAAAAATTGCAACGGGATTCTGATCAAATACGGTTTGTGTTACGGAGGCTTGAATGATGCCCGTATTAATTGCAACCGACCCGTTAACCCGAGAAATGTTCAATGTGAAGCTCCCGGCGCCTTTGTCCTCGGTGGCTAGGGTTGGTTGAACAGGATTCACTATCGATTGAAGCGACCCGAGCGGATAGTAGGAATGTAGCACGTGAAACCTTAAGACGTCGGCCTTCTTATCCGCCGGTAACGATTGAAAGTTCGCCGACGCCGGTAGATCGGAGAATGCGTCGTCGGTCGGGACGAACAGTGTAATTCCCGCACCGCCTTCATCAGATTCGAATTCCTGAACGACACCAGATGCAGCAAGCATTGACGCCGCCACATTGAAGTTGTGGCCATCAATTAACGCTTTACTGATATTAAGCCCTAACGGCGGTCGACTCTCCGATGCGAGTAGATCGAATCCGTAAGGTACGATTAGTGAATTGACGGAGAAGATGCTAACGTTGTACGGTAGGTTCTTAATTAGGGAGATAACGGTGGCGTTGTTTGGTGCTTGTGAGTACGCGGCTGGGGATCGGACGGTGGTTGTATCGGTTTTATCATCGTAGGTAATATTAACCGAGCCGAAGTTGTTGCTGGCACGGCCGGTGGTTTGGAAGAGAGTAGTGATGAGTTTTCCGGAGGGAGGAAAGTGGCTGAGGTCATGGAGAGAGAGGTATTGTAGGAGGACATGGTAGCGGATGACGTCCGCGATGTTGGTGGAGGAGGGGGAACGACGGATGAGGTCGGAAGATCGGAGGAAGGAATTGGGAACGGCGAGGAGAGTGAGGGATGTACGTTGGGTTAGATCGGCGGCGACGGTGGTGGAGGATAGGAGGTCGGAGAAGTCGGAGAGATCTGGGTAAGGGGATAAGAGATGGGTAATGTTAACGGCGGAGATGAAGGTGGAGTGTAAGAGTAAATATAGCAAAATAATAGGGGTGAAATGGGAAATAAGTTGAGAAACAGCCATTTCTATCGAGTGGAAGCTGAACTAGTGAGAGTGATGGGGGATGATCGGGTGTTGATGGTGTATGTGAATGAATGATGATGATGATGATTTGTTGAAAGCATATACATCCGTAATTAGGATAAATCAAAAATCAAGTCCATACACTTATGCTTATTGACAATTTTAGTCCCTATACTTCACAGCCACTACATTTTAGTCCTTTTTTTGTTTTATTTTCTACGCTGCTTGATTAGCTTACAAACCCAAGCATATTGCTTAAGAGGTCAATTTTTGATTAATAAAAAATTTGGAAACTATGGAAACGTATAGTCATTTTATTTCTATCTGATTACATGACTTTGTAACGAAAAAGTATACTCATATACAACATACATTTAATTCCTCTTAGAAATAGACATCTAATGGGAAAGTAGACCATCTTAAATGATAACATGAATATGAGTAGTATGGATAAAAGTAACGAAAGTTGATGTGAAAAGTACGAACATTCACAAAACATTGGGCGGTATAATGCAAATAGCCAAAAATATTCTAGGTGGAGCATTTAATACCAACAATGAATTCCGTAGACTTTGTGTAGAAAGAAAAGTAGATACTTATGTTATAGTGTTATACCATGAAAACACTGATGTTTTTCTCATTATTCAATTAAAAAATACAGGATTATAGAAGATTGTATGTTTCTTTAACATTAGAAACTCGGTATCTCAAGTTGGTATATTGGTTTGGTGTTTTCTAATTACTCGAGTTTGATCCTCGCTACAATAACATATCTATTCATCTTCACATGTGGATGCACACTATCACTTCGATAGTGAAGCCATATAAATCTATGTCTTGTAATGTGATTGGTATTATTTATTTTAGTTGGTTATTTACGTTTTCTTTGGTTGAATATTGTTAGTCTGTATTCCATTGAACATTTTGTCATATAAAATCCCAATAAATGATATCAAAGCTTTGGATTTTCGTTCCAAATTTAGATGGCCAATACTAGCAACACTTTAGCCACCTATGCCATCAAATCTGGTTATATTAGTAGTTATTATCGGGATGGAGATTTCAGTAATTGGCATGGAAAATAATAGTTATATTTGAACCAGGGCGGTCCAAACCGATTTTAGGCCCGAGACAAAATAAAAAATGAGGCCCTTCAAAAAAATATCATCAAAGTTAATGTATGAGAGAGTAACGTGAATGAAGCAAATATAGAAAAGAAGACCATTTTAAGCTTCAATTAATTAGTTGTGTAAACGTTAATATCTATTAGCTTCAATTAATTAGTAGTGTAAACGTTAATATCTATTAAGCTTTTTGTTAGCGGACGTATTATATGTATATCCATGTATTATTATTAGTCCATAGTAGCTCATTGTATGTTCTGTGCATATTGGTATTCGGCCCATGTGGTTTGTATTTATTGTGTATTCTAATGATAATGGAATTCAAGGGAAAAATACTTTCTATCATGGTATCAGAGCTACACTTCCCAACCCTAATTCCAACCGATCCTTTCTTCTTCATCCTGTCTCGTTTTCTTCTTCTACTACTCTTCTTCCCAGTCACGTTCTCTTTTTCAATCAAGATGACCGATGGTGAATCTAGCAACAACTCCAAACCTCCCCACAAAGCATACAAAATAACCAACATCAAAACGTATGTTCCTCTTATTTTGGATCTCACCACTCAAAACTATGAACCTTGGAGTGCTCTCTTCAAGGCTCATTGCATTGCCTATGATGTTCTTGATCACATAGACGACACTTACGACGCACCAAATCAGCCTTCTACTGACCCGGAATGGGAGAAACTCGACTCCATGGTGCTACTATGGTTGTTTGGATCGATCTCCCAAAACCTCATCACCGCCGCTTACTCCAAACCTCCAACCGCTCGTAAGATTTGGCTCAATCTCCACTCTCTTTTTTATGACAATAAAGAAGCTACTGCTATGCAACTAGAGACCGAACTTTGAAACATCTCCATGGGGGATCTTTCTCTCCATGATTACTGTGACAAAGTCAAGAAAATAGCAGATCTCCTCGACGGACTCGGTGAAAAAATCAAGGAACGCAACATGGTTCTTCATGCATTAAATGGCCTCCCGAGTAAGTTCAATAGTGTTGTCGACATAATTCGGTTCTCCAAACTGTTTCCTTCTTTCTCAGAGATGTGTTCCATTTTGGCGGTGGAGGAATCTCGCTTCAACAGTTCCCGGTCTATCACTCCCCTTCACGAAAATAATTCATCTTCTTCTCAATTATTTCATGTTGGGTCATCCTCCAATAATCGTGTGAGGGGTTGTGGGTCTCACCGCGGCAATCCTCATCAGAACAGTCGACGAGGAGGGACAACAAATGAAGGGCAGCGCCGATTTTTTTCTCAATCAGGAGGTGGTCAAAATTTTTTTAATGGTCCTCATCACATGCGTGACCCACCTGTTGGGTGGGTATTTTTTCCACCCTCAAGCAACACCAACAATTCGTGGCCTACTAATTTTCAAACCCAACATTTTTGGGCTCCACCTTCTCAATCTACCGGCCAATAAAACCAACAACAGTGGAGCCGACCCTGATAGCTTATTTTATTTCCTTATTTTTATTAGTTTATTTTAGTATTTTTAGCTTTTTTTTTATTAGTATTGCATTGTATATTCTTTATTTTCTTTATCATGGATCGTGTCGGGTACTTTCTATTTTGCATGAGATATTTTGTAGGGTTTTAGAGCTCATTGCGGTTGCGGTTTGACTGGAGTTGGGCTTAGTGGGCTTCTCGATGCATTATTGGGCTTTGCGGATCCATCAAAGGAGATTTGGGCTAAAAAGTTGAAGATTTGGATGAAGTGGGCTTTTGAAGATGGGTCATGGATTTTTATTTTGGTCTTGGACTATCCATATTTAAAGCTTGAAGGTGATTGGCCAATTTCAAATCATGTGAGTCATGTAGGGGACCAAGGGAATCTTGGGTAGTGGAATGGTTAGTGGAGAAGAATGGACCAATAGCATTCCAGCAACACTTGCGAGGGTGGAATCTCAGGCGTGGGGGTACCCGCACAACTGCACACTTTTGGGCATTTTGGTCATTTTGTTTACCATTTACCTTGGGGGGTTGGATCTTTCAGCAACAACTTTGATTTTCCACCATTAGAGAGGATTGGAGGCGATTTTGGAACTTGATACTCATTCTTCTCATCTTTCTAATTAATTGGTAGATTCTTGATGCAAAAACACTTTTGTGATTGTTATTTTGTTGCCATGAGTGGCTAATTTCTCTATTTTTGGTTAACTTTGGCTAAAACCCTTGGATGTTTGTGGGGTCTTTGAAGGATTCATGCTTAATTGTCATTTGTCTTATGTTTATGATTCTAGTTCATATTTCTTATGCTTGTTTAATACATTGATCATGAGCTTGGTACTTGAATGATCAATTGTTGGTCTATTTCTTTGGTTTAGCATTAAATCATTGAATTTACTTAGAACAAGGGATTTATGATGGTAGAAATCATCTCTAGCTTATGAATCATAACTCCTTTATGGATGTGTAAGCATTGACATCCTCTAGGAATTGGGGATTCCTTCATTCTTAAGGCTAATCAACTTCTTGGGTTCAATTGCTTCAATTGGATATTTGATTTTGATTAAGAAGGTGTGTTGTGGGCTTCCCCAACCTCCATACTACCTATGAGGAATCTTGGCATATCATGCTTCATGATTGCTATAACCAATTTGGGATGAAGGATAAGCTTCATGTTGAATCCTAATGATAAACACACAAATGTTCATTGTGTTGAATTGCCTTGGTTAACCAATTATCTCCAATATTTGAGCATCTCACCATCTTGCTTAATTGCAAGCTTTTTAGTTATTCAAGTCTTTTAGTTTTCAAGCAATCACAACACCCCCCCCCCCTTTTAGTTTAATTGTAGTTAGTTAGTTTCTTTACACTAGTTCTATTGGATTGCATTTGTGATTGAATACAACCATTTCCCTGAGGATCGATACCCCTTTTTACCATTATATTACATTTTATTTGCAAACAAAGGGTGTAATTTGATTTGTGGACTTGACATCCCCCCAACACTAACAGTGACCCAGGAATCCTTGGCAGCCAACCAACTCATGCCTCGCAGCCCATTAGTGCAAGCCCACAGGCTTTTGTTCACTCCCCTTGTACATATCAACATCAGTGGGCCTGGCCTGGTGGCGATCAGCCCACTTCATTACCAAATTTATTTAATTCTATGACTCTAAATGATCCAGGAAATGGCGGTTGGGTTATGGACACCGGAGCTACAGATCATGTCAACGCCAATGCAGGTATACTTAAATTCGTTTCTAATAGTCATTATCCTCAATCTATTTATGTTGGTAACGGTTCTGCAATACCTGTCACGACCTCGGGACATTCCATTTTTCCTATTCCAAATATCTATCGTCCTCTTCATTTAAAAAACGTTCTTATCACACCAAATATTATTAAAAATCTTATTTATGTACGTAAATTTACTTCTCATAATAATTGCTCTATTGACTTTGATCCTTACGGTTTTACCGTTCTTGATTATCAGACACGTCGTCCTCTCATCCGTTGTGATAGCTCAGGGCCCCTATATCCGGTCACAAGCTCCACAAGTCATGCTTTTATCTCTACTTGCTCCACCACTTGGCATCAACGGCTCGGTCACCCCAGAGATCAAGTCTTGAAGCATTTATCTTCTAGTAGTTCTATATCTTGTTTACCTAAAAATAATGTTACTTGCCATGCTTCTCAACTTGGCAAACACACTAGACTTTCGTTTTATTTGTCTGATTCTAATGTTTCTGCTCCTTTTGAAATAATCCACTCTGGTTTGTGGACTTCTCCCGTAGCTAGCAATGGTGGTCTAAAATATTATGTTTTGTTTCTTGATCATTATACTCATTATCTTTGGGTATACCCCCTCCAACATAAATCGTAAGTATTTCAAAAATTCTTACACCTCTCCAACTTAATAAACACTC